GCATTTTTTTAATCATTATTTACTCAAAATCAATTTCTTATCCCGTAAGGTGATTTTAATAGCTTAGCCCCCATATTTACAATAAAGCGTTATATATATTTGTCGATCATCTATTTGATTGCGTCATACGAACTTTTTCACACGTCTTCGTCATTCTTGCTAGTATGTCTTGTTTCTACTCGACAATTTTTAATTTTCTAAAAATCTCACGAGAATAACTTTATTTTGAAAGCTTTGAATTAATCTCGTGGATAATTTATGGTTAGACAATAAATATTACTATTCAGTTTTTTTTTTTTTTGATTTTCAATCTTTTTTTTTTTTTTTTTTTTTTTAATATCCTTTATCATGCCAGTTTTCATCTGCTTTAGTTCGTTTCTTTATATTTCAATTTTCGGTTCATTAAATATACTTCTATACCTTGTCCCCGAGATATTGGTGCTCGTAAGTTGGAAGATTCTAATAATCTTTTAGGACGAATTAATAATATTATGCTGGATCCGAAACGAATAATGCTGGAACTGAATGAATAATACCGGGGTTGAACGTTCAAATAATTTTATATATATTCCTTAAATTCAACAACGCTATCTTAAACATAATTTTAAGTTATCATTCATCATCTTTACAGTCAAGTAATAGTCGTCATAGGAATGAGCGTGCATGTTATACATTTCTAAACTTAACCTTTTATTACTATGTGGAGGCCTAAAAAAAAAAAAAAAAAATTTAGGAATTTTTTATTTTATTTTTTTTTGGCGGGTTAAATTAGTCGCAATCTTACCGTCTTTTATATCTATTTTGAATGTAAGTCATTTCGCACAAGGAATAAATAACTTTATGTTCAAATCCTTTTCTTTTAGCAGAAATTTCCAAGAATTTTATAGTATTTTCGCCTAACATTACCAAGGAAACCGATTAATCATTTCTTAAAACCAATAAAAATGTCACAAATCTTTTTTTTTTATTACTTACAACGTTCAAAAAGATCATTTAAAATATTTTCATTAGTTACATTCTTATATTCTTCAAATCCCTCTCGAATCCTCTGTCTAACATAATAAACAGCTGGTCTTGAATATAATACTGACGAATCACCTGCTCTCCACAATCTTCTAAAAAGTGATTTAGAAGCGGGTGCGATAACTCGTGACATTATGATTCTTTAAGTAAAAGAAAAGAGTTTTTTATTATATGTTTTTTGATTGTTGATCAAAAAATTTAAAAAAAAAAAAAATTGTCAGATGTCGATCTCATCTCCAAAAGACGTACAAAAATATCAACTATTTCTTCTCTAATAATGTTTTAATAAATAATTAAAAATTAAAATTAATTTTTTTATATCATTAATAATTTTTTTTGATTTTTTCCTTTTTTTAAAGAATTTATAATTTACAATTAAAAAAATTTTCATCAAAAAAAATATATATTGTCAATTTCTCTTTCAAACAACTGAAATAAAATAAAATAAAAAATCGGCCAGGTTATTCATCAGAAGAATCCTTTGCGCTTCTTTTTTTTGAACCTGACCCGCTAATACTTTTACGACGATTGATACTTGTTTGCGTGACAGATAATGCCCTTGAAGTTTCAGAACGATTTAACGCAGAATTGTTTTTGGATTTGGATCGAGCACCTCTGCCGGTCATCTTGGATTCTTTGGGTTCTTCCCCTCCACTTGATATACTTTTTCTTCTTTCCGTATTATGTGAAGCAATATTAAGACGTTTTCTAGTTTGTCGGTTGTTCTTACCAGTAGTATTAGTGGTAGCTGCGGTAGTGGTAATGATAGCGGGTTGTTCTGCTTCATCTGAATCATCTGAATTAATGATAACTTTTCTTTTCGCGCGCTTCGGCTTAACGCCTTTACGATTCTGAGTTTTTTCATGTGATGATGATTCTCCTTCACTTGATGCGTCAGTTTTTTGTCGAGGAGCGCGGTTGTTGTTATATGGACCTGTAGAACGCTTTGATCGATCCTCTACCTCAAGCTGTTTTGCTTTACCTTTGGATCGAGTAGAAATCGTGGAAACTGCGGTGGTTGGTTGATCATAAAACGGATCTTGAGTCATTCAAAAGCATTTGGTCGATTAGTTGATTAACTGGCGCCTCCTAAAATTTTCGTTAGCATACATACCGTCACCATCATCAACTTCCATTTGATCCCCGTCATCCTCAGCCTCAGGTGATCGTTGTAAAGATACGATTTCCTTTCCGACGGCACTGCCTAAAAGCATAAAGTTAGGTAGTATTTTTTTAAAAGCTGCAAGGTTAATTATAAAAAAAAAAAAAATTATTATTTGGTTGAATTGGATAACATGATAATCAACGTGATATTTACTAACCTTGCTTGAGTTTTTCATTTTTCCATAATTCTGCTATGACATCAAAAAAATCACTAGCTTCATTCTCGTCATTCTCAGATTCCTTTATGTTTTTGGAAACCTCATCTGTCATGGCTTCAATTAACTTTTCAGGAAAACTATCATTCCATCGAGTAAAGACTGAGGCGACAAACTTTAAATTTTCCAACTTGCTCTCTAGTAATTTCGCATTAGCAATTAGTTTCGTTAAGAATGAAACACTCTTCGCTGTTGGGGGGATAAGTTCAAGGAGAGATAACAGCCCACACAAAGATTCAGGATGCTCTAAATAAAATGATCATCTTAATTGTAGATTGAAACAACATACAGTAAGGTTTGTTATGATTTATAAACAATAAATTTACCTATTGGTTCCAGGAATTTCAATTGTACACTTGAACATATAAAATTTTCAAGTTTTTCGGTATTATTTCCGACCTCGGCTTTTATTAATTGGAAAAGGTATAATTGTTCAAATGAACCCCAACAATTTAATGAATTTTCTGCGTAAAAAGTTGATGTGTATATAGATAAACGTTAGTTGCGTTAAATTATATCAACCAATATTTATGGGTGCTTTGCAGTAAAAAAAAGTAGAAAAGGAGGAAATTACAAAAAAGAATAAAATAAAATTTTCCTCCCTTTCTACAGCAAAAGTGTTTTATTATCTATAAACCTACAAAACATAATAAAGTCATACCCAAAACAAAATCCAGATCCAAATCTCCAAACACTCTATAATGACCTAGTCGTAAATCCGTCTCGAATTTATAAATCTAACAAAAAAAAATATATATATTTAGATATATTTTAGTATAGTATAAATAAAATGTATAAAAAGGAATTACATACAAGCATCGGATTTATTCCGTGAATGATTGACGTTATGAATTCAAAATTTCCAACAAAGATCTCGGGCCAGATTTGTAAAAGTTTGGGAACAATAGAATCAAAAACATTGCATTCATATTGTTGCAACAACTATAAAGAAACAATAAATCATAAGCAGCCAAATAATAATTATATTCGTGATGAGAATGAATACCTACCTGTATTCCTGACAAAAAACGTTTGTTCACTTCTTCCTCGACATCTGGATGAGAGCCTTCGCGCTTAACTTCATAGTTTATATATTCAAGATACAAGTTAATCAGAAGTTTAAAATCTTTAATGAATGCACTTCCCAATTTATCCAACTTTAATGACCTATGTAATATATATAAAAAAAAACAGAGACATATTATAAATGATGAATCTTCAGATAATTTTAACGAGAAATTTGAACATCATGTACCTAAGACAATAGACCAGTAATTTTATCCGGGCTTCCGAATGCGTTTTTTCATCGTTTTTGACAATAAGTCTATACATTTCAAACGACTTAAATTTAGGTGAATTGTTTTCCTTCTCATCTTTCTCATCCTTATGGTTGAAGACCCAAGATATTAAACAATTAAATAAATTCTGTTTAGATGGATTGATTTCAAGACATTCAGAATTTAAGTTAAAACATTTGTTAAGTTCGTCGAAATTTAATGTTCGGCAAATATCAGGCCCAATAAAAGAAGGCAAATCCGTAAGATGTGGAGAATTTGTAGCATCCAATTTAACTCCCTACATATAAAATATAAAAGTAAATAAAATATGAATAACTAATTTTTTTTTTGTAAAATAATACCTTCATAAAATGATCCAATATTTGCGTCAAATGTTGGATTTCTTCTGCCGAATTCCCTGCCAATGATGCTGCCTTAAAATTTTTCAGCAGGCTTTTATAAAACCATAAACTCGGTGGAACAGACACAGAATTTGATGGTAACGAAGCTGAAACTCGCGTAGATGGTATAAAATTTGTCATCAAGTTGGATGATGTTTCTTCTACAACTGGTTTCGACTCGAGCGATTTTGAGACTGAGTTCGAAGGCTGAACAGCAGAATCCACAGATAATTCACGTTTCTTTGAATTTATTAACTGATTGTCAAGGCTCATGAATTTTGTTTCTGATTCTAATTGGGAATCTATCTCTGATGACTTATCATAAGACTGAACAGGATTGCGTATTGACAAAAGATTTGACTGTATGGAAGTTTGAGACGATTGATTAAAAGGTAATGGTAATGATGTTGATTGTTGATAAAATGGCGAGCCTGTTATTAGATCCGCTTGTAGGGGATTAGATGGAAAGACTGAAGGAGTCACTGGCATTGTGTTCATTAGATGACCCCATAAATCGCCAACAATCTTTACAATTCGATTGTCACCGACAAAATCACTAAGTTTTGTGCGAATAATCTTGATATCCTCTACTCTATTTTTTTTTTTTTTTTGTTATACAAGGTTATTTAGGTTTGAATAATCGTGCATTTCAAGCAAGAAAACTACCTACGTCATAATATTACGTGCAATTGCAATCTGAGATGATGCTCTGACATTCTCACGAAGTTCATTGTCAATCCCAGGAAAGATATTGCTTATTGAAGTATAGAGAGCTTCTAATAAATCTTTGGCAATTCTCAAGCTATTAGTTTTGACATTCTCTACAATTAATTGTATACAAGGCTCTAATAATGATATATATATATATATTTATTTATTTATTTATATGAATTATTAAGTTTTATTAACTTATTCATAAGTATTAATAAATTTCAAATGAAATGTAACTTACCTATACAATATAGACCCTCTTTTATAACATTAGGGTCTCTGTTATTTCTTTCAAAACACAACCAATCATAAACTAATGCCGTTTTCGCTAATTCAATGGCATCCCAATTACCCTGAATATATTATTACATCAAAAATGTTAAATTTAATAAAAGGAAAAAAAAAAAAAGTTAACAAACGATTGACACTTACTCCTATTTCATGCAATAAAAGATTAATCAATAAATATCTATTACTCATGGCTTTCTCGCTATTAGGACGATAAGCGCTGACTATCCATCGAATAATATCAGCAATTAGGAAACGAGGATCTGCAGGAGGTGTTAGGAAATTTGTTTTGAAAAAATCCAATTTTCGTTTGAAACCTAACAGCGAGTGCTATAAAAATGATATTTGAGAATGCTAACCGTTAAATACATTTAATATATTTAACGAGAAGTAAATAATTACCTGTTCCAACATGTGCGTTAATCTCTCGCTCATGTCATATGATAGGCGACTTGTTAAACAATAACTTAAGGTTTTTTGTTTCATGATGGTTATTTTTACTAAAGTCGCGCACCAGTAACAATTTAAAAAGTGCATGTAATTATCAGAAAACTAAAAATAAAATAAAAATAGACAACAAAAGCAACAACTCACTATCTTCTGGAATCATGCTTAGCACGTATAAAAATTCGGTAACATTACGATTATCTCTTATTAATCTTAATAAATCTCGGCCTATTTTAAAGAAAGAATTAAACTATTCATACCAAAAAATAATATATTAAATATATAAAATAATAATGTTCGAACGTTTAAATAGCAAATAGGAAATTTAATACATACATGAACATCAAATATCATTTTACAAAACTTTATTTCCTTTGCCCTTAAATTCTCTAGCATAGGCTCATGATGATCCCGTATTAAACTTGTAAAAGTATAAAACGTAATGTGCAACAGACGTTCATTGTTATAAAGCCATATTCTATAATGAAATTAAATTAACGTGTCAGTAAAAAAAAATTCGTCTAATCATTTCTTGATATTATTGATATTAAAATTTTCATTATTTATTTTTATTTTTATTTTTTTTTTAAAAAAAAAATGATATATACAGCTCGCGTTGGAAAAACTCTAAAACTTCATTGCTAAGCCATACATTTGTTTCAGAAATATCCCCCCCTGAAATAATGAAAATGATTAAATTTTAGCTAGGGAAAAAACAAAAATTTTATTCTTAAATCAAATACCTCTGATTTGCCGTAGTATGGATTCACAGACATCGTATAGTCCCGGAATCCCGTCCAAAGCAGATCTGTGATCTGTCACGAGATTTTCAATCAACAACATAATCTAATATAATAATTTTTAATTTTTAAGTCATACTGATTACGATTGGTCAACAATAATAATTAATTTTCAACGATAAATATTTACTCGATGTATGGTTTCTCTGGAATATAACGAGAAACATTTATATCTGACTACTTTTTTCAATTGTGAAATAATATGATCATATCCATCCTTATCAAAGTCTCCAATATAATCATAAAACTAAAATAAATTAAAGTTAAAAACATTTTTTTTTTCATCGATATTAAATATTAAAAATGATTTTCTCTTTACATACTGTTTGGAAATTTACAGTTAAGGCTCCATAAAAAAGGCCCGACATTGTTCGGTTATAGCCATTTGGAACGATATCAATCTAGATAAAATCGCAATCGCATTAATGAACTTAAATCAGGTTAGATTATCATTAATTAAAAAAAAAAAATGAAAGATTTGAATTAACCATCCGAAATAATTCTTTCTTTGAGTCCTCTTCTGATCTCTCTGAAATATTATCATCCACCCACTGGAAATCATCATTCAGCTCCTGTTTTTTTGTTTAAAAAAATCAAAAATATTTAAAGAGAAGATTAATAAGCTTTATGTTGAACTGGATCCAGTATCACAAACACTTAATATGGTAGCAGTTTTCCGTATCAACAATGATGCAGAATTTGCAGAATTGCTGCGCCACATCCAAATCTACTTACTTTTACGAAACTCGGAATCCCATGCTGATCAGCTCTACCATCGGTTTTAAACATTTTTTTTGTACACGTTTAACTCTTGTTTATATAAATAAAAAAAAGTGTAAAGAAATAAATTAGTTTTTGATTAATTTGCGCTTTTTTGCGATATTTTCCCATGAAAAAAAAAATTTTTTTTTTTTAAAAAAAAAAAAGAGAAGTAGGTAAAACTTACTTGGTTTGACCAAGGGAAGTTTTTAAGTTATTTATAATTAATTTTTTTGAGGAAAAAAGTTCTGTCAGACAAACGGTTTCCCACCTGCAAAAAAGAATCTAATTTGGTTAATCTGGCCCCCTTTTTATAATTTTATGAATGTAAACAACAATGAACTCATGCAGATCAGTCACATGATTTTTGAACCGCAGTTTTTGTGGCAACTTTTGTCTTCAGACTTTAAATTATTTAGAACCCAAATTAAACTAAATTTATCACAATTCAAGAAATAAATCTTGGTTAATTTCCGGTAAAATTCCTGACAAAAAAAGAATTAATTAACCCAACACGTGTTTTTCTGTACTCCTCTTATAATGTAATTTTGTATTTCTATTGTGTTTGAATAAGGATATAAAAAGAAGATGATGATTTCTCATAAATTGGAAAAAAAATTTTTTCAAAAAAAAAAAAAAAAAAAAAAAAATCTCTTTTTTTCTCGTAAAGAAAATTTTCACACATTAAGCAAAAAAATTCTCAAAAAGAAAAAAAAAAAAATTCATAAATTATGGCTTTAAATTCTCGAAATTTCTTTATATCAACAATTCTCGTATTTATTACATTTAGTTTCTTGATCGATAAATTTCAAGATACGACCAATAATCGATTTTTATTTGAAACCTCATCACAATCACAAGATGCAATTGAATTATTCGAAAAATATTTCAAACAAGAACAAGAACAACCTTCTATGGAACTCGTTTCAGCTCACGTCTATACTTCAGCAATTTTACCCGAAGTATTTTATGAAATATTTAGTGATGAATTTGTAGATCAATATTGGGAGAACATTGCAACGGCGAGTCATGAACCGGCCCCAGTTATCTTTTAACATCGTTGTAAGTGAGTGGGATTTGATTTCGAGGGCGAGGATCATTTAAATTTTGCAATACGCAAGTAAATTAAGTGTGAATGCTATCAAGGCGCATGTATTTAAAAAGGAGTTTCGCGTGGAGGGTTTTTTTTTTAAAATTATTTATTTTTGTAAAAAACATGGAACATGTAAATTGCATTTTTTGTAAATAAAAAAAAATTTTTTTACTATTATAATTTTTCAAAGAAGAAAGTTAAAATAAAACGACATCGCACTGCATAAATTCAAAAAAAGCCCTTGCATTCTTTTTGTAACAACCTTTTTTTCTAAATTGTACTTAGCTATATATACCTCACAGGGTATCAACTGTAAAAAAAATTAAATTTTTGTTACATAAAAACTCTTAAATTTTAACTGCTAAATGAAAGTGAATGAAAAAAAATATTCTTAATTTATCTTTGCTCTCTTTTCATTTCTTCGGTGAAATGTTGTAATAATTTAATAAAACCCAATTCTTGAATGTTCAAAGGGAATTATTATTATTACCTTGTAAACTTTAAGAAAATCGCTTCGAAATGTATGTAGAAATTGAATTGCTTAAGCTAATATTTCTTTTTTTTCTATTTGCTAGATTCTCTTTTTTATTTTGACCTCTTCCGGTAAATTCTTTTTATCTCGAATAATTAAATTAAGGCATTTTGCAAAATAGGCCAAAGAGAGAACATATTATTTATTGTGTAGAACATTTATAATGGGCGTTTCTTTGGGTTTAATTAAACGATAACACTATTTTCTCTGATGATATTAGAACAAAAGGACGATGGGCACGGAAATCGAATTACAAGATATATCAACTCACACCAGCGTAATGCAACATAATCCATCTGTTAACTTTATCTTCAACTCTTACATAATCCACGTGACATTAATTTCAAAAAAAAATGGACTGGCATTATTTATTTATTATGTAATATGTACGTGTACAAATTAATGAACTAACGAATATTCTAATACATCTATTTAAGAAAGTTCTATCGTACACACATAATGCCAAATCCTGATTCACGTGAAAAAGTCCTGGCAACAAATTATGTCACAATAGGGGGGAACACTATCCCCATTTATAAAAATAAACTTATTACAAGTTTTATACATATCGATGAAAAAAAAAAAATATCATCCCCATAGCGTTCTTTCATACATATTCCCATTGGAAACCGATATTAATATATGGAGTTTCCAAAAAACTTGGACCTTTCTACGTAAATATCTCACAACATGCATGATATCATGAAATGATTTTTCCTAGTTGATTTTAATAAAATAAAAACTCAAACAACAATTAATTTTAGCCCCAAACATAAAGGGACAAGGACAATATCATCATCTTGTTTTTTTTTTCCCCTAAACTAAATTATTTACTTACGGCCGAAGATCTATAAATATATATAAATATATCACTTTTACATTATTAATTAATATAAAATAATAAAATTTTCATCTTCCCTTTTTTTTTTTTGATTTTTCGCAACACTTCTTCTTTAACATGGCAATACTTAAAATGAAAAAACCTTTAGTGTATATAATATTAGTATTAGTCTATTTACTTGGGTTAGCGGTTACAATAACATGTCTGGTATTTGGTAAGCTATATTTTATTTTGATAATAATAAATAATTAACTAAAATGGCAATTTGTGATCTGATTTTCTTGTTGATAGCAATTGAAAAACGAAAAGCATTTATGGATAATGGTGATGAAATAGTTTTTAAAAATGAAGCAATTGAAAATTTGTAAGTTCTGTGTCTTTTTTTTCTTTTTTACTTCTTTTTTTGTTAACCTTTTTTCTTTTTCTCTTAGATATCTGTTTTTATTAATAGCGACTATCATAAGTTACCGTAAGTAAAGAATTTTTTATTTACAACATTACATAAAAATTATTTATTCAAGAATCTTTTCTTTTGACAATAGTGACATCAATGTGTTGTTCAATAGCAAGTAATGAACCAAATATCTTGGGAGATGGAGGAACTGCGTTGGTACAATTGTAAGCTTCTTACGGAATTTTTATCATATTTACTATTCATTTATCTATCGTTGGTTCATTAAATTCTTCTTCCGTTTCGTTACAGTATAACATCATTAGTGTGGATAATAATCCCAGCGGTGTACACGGTTTTAACTACGAATGAATTAGAAAAAATTCCTTTTTCGTGCTCGACATCGTCATCAAACCGTTTATTAATATTACACGCGTGTAAAATGCGCAGAAATAATTTATTATTGATGTGGATAGATAGTGTAATAATGTTTTTAACGATGTTTACACTCTGTTTTTGTTTCTACGGATTAGAAATTCGAGATGAGGAAGATATTCTTATTGATCAAAGTCTTGGTATTGGACAAAGTTCTGAAGTTTCTACTCCACCTGTTCTCAAGAGATTCAACCCATATTTTTGCAAACATTAATTATTCCTTGGAGAAATCGGAATATTTTTTTGCGCACTAAATGCTGTAACACCAAACACTCAGCCACGTCCGATCGAGAATTTAATTAACCAAAAATATCTTTTAACGATTAGTGTGTGGTAGATCAACTCTATCAAGTTTCATTCCTTTAAACTAAATCTTACAAAGTCATTATTAAAATGGTTTTCATTTGTCATACAGAAACGGAAATGATCCATATTGATTGTATTACCAACAAAAGTAATATCTCTCTGAATTTCTAAATATGATTAATAAAAAAATAATAAATTTTTTCCTTTCTCCCTAAAATACAAAAAAAAAAAAATATCTTTGCCAAACAAATGTGTAATGAAGTTGTTATATCAAGTTTATTATTTATTAAATTATTAGCATAATTTTTAATAATCGATTAACGAGACTTTTTGAAAATAATTAAAGGTTCTGTGAACCTTGTTATATAATTAAATAATATATTTTCAAAATGGTCAAATGGAAAAGAGAAAAAGTTCAGGATCATAAATTTGATTTTGTCGATGTACAAGAGTTTGAAAAAGATGATTTTATTAGTAAAATAAAGTATTCATTTGTATTTTTCATAGTATTAAAATCAGTTCTAGTCTATATTGCTGACATATATAACGCAGGTGCTTTACTAGTAACTGACAAATGGGCAGGAGGAGTTAAACCCAAAATTCCATTTATTATATCAAAATGGATTGTTGTAGGTTCCATATTTATTTCATTCGTATTATTATTACTTGAAGTTAGGAAAGCGCGATTAATTGTAGCTTCAAGAGATATTTCTTTTGCCTTTACAAGTATAGTGGCTTATCGTTATTATACGTTAACAAGTTATGCTCATTGGTGTTTCTTTCAAGAAATAAGAAATCAACAAAAAGGACAAGATAAAATCGCTTTCTTTGTATTTTTTTCTTTTAAAGGTAATAGTGTGGAAACATATATAATATATAGATATATATAATTCAATGTTTATATCAGCTTACTCATTTTAAATTCCTATTTGTAGGATGGAAACGTTTATTATTTTGTGATGGACCACGTCAAGTAATTAATGCTATGACTTTGTTCACAATTTTCAAGGAAAAAGGTTTTACCTCAAACTTTGCTGCTTATGGTCCAATATTCACGCGAGCTTCAATGGGTGTCATTATTTTTACCGTTTCAATGTTCATTATATCTGCATGCTTGTTGTTATTTGCGTTTCTTTTATACCTTCCTCTTTTATGCAAGATTCGAGGGAATTTAAAAGAATACTGTTGTCATTTAATTGATAAGAGGTAAATAACTCATCACGCACATTCTTTACGTATGTTTCTAGTTATAACTAATTTATTAAATTTTTTTTTTACCTACATAATTTAGAATCAGCGAACTTCTTAAAAGACAAAAATATAAAAGAATTCAAAAGGGGTCAAAGGCCGTGAATACTCATTTCGATGGATTGGCTCCCACGATACCAAATGTTGATGTTGATGATCCAGCTCAAAATAAAGTACCATATATCACAACTCCACCGCCAATACACCCATATCATGACCCTCCGCCAATGGTGTTCAACAACTTTGCCGCAAAGCCACCAGCGGACCCATATATATTGGGAAGACCTAATGCTCCCCGAAATCAAGTGCCACATTATAATGTCCCACCTCCTCAAGGGATTTACACGAATCATAATAATGGTAGTACAGCATCTTTGGAAAATGGTGGCTTTAATGCTCCGTATAGAAATAGGCGCGGTAGTAATGCATCACTGGGTATAGTTCCAATATACGATCAGCCTGTTGGAATGGAATATCCCCCAAGACCTGACAGTAATAATTCAAATGCCTATTCAGAAACGTCAACTAAATATTCAGGAAGGAATCCTTATCCTGCTTCACCTCCATATCAACCACAACCACAACAACAACAATATCCTTACCAACAAATGCCACCACAAAATCAAGGTGGTGGTTATAACAACGTGGATCCATATGGTGCTATTTACGATGAATATCAATATTATGAAGAAAACGCTTATGATTCTTATCCAGTGTCTCCGCAATCTCAACAATTCCCTCAAAATAATTTCGTTCCAACCGAGAATGCACGAAAACAAAGTAACAATGCAGTTCCTCCAGCACAACGAAATCCATATCCACCTCGTTCACCTCATAAAATGCATTTTGCTCCAACTGAGACTGCACGACAACAAAATAACAATGCGGTTCCTCCAGCACAACGAAATCCATATCCACCTCGTTCACCTCATAAAACGCATTTTTCTCCAAACGAGACTGCACGACAACAAACTACAAATGCGATTCCTCCATCACAACGAAACCCACATCCATCTCGTACAACTCATTCGCAACAAAAAGCACATTCTAATGCAAGGTATCAGCAGAATCCACATTATTAACCACAAGGTGGTACAAGATCGTAATCTAAAAAAAAATTTTATATGTATTTTTTTTTGTATTTGTGTTAAAAAATTTGTATCATTATATTTCTTTTTTTTTTTTTTTTTGTATTAAAAAGATAGAAATATATTTAATTAAAACTATTATCCTCAAAATGGATTTCATTTAATTTTGATTCCCTGTTCATCATCCATTTTTAAGAATAGAATCCATTTAAAGAATTTATTTAAATGGAAATTGTGAAACCTCATCAATGATTCCCCCTTAGTATAAGATAATTAGAGTTGTAATGTATTATAAATTATTAAAATTTAATTAAAAACATGGTCAATTGACTCGTCTCATAAAAATTCATCTGCAATTTTAAAAGTATTTTAATATTTATTTATTAAACAAAAATTTGCTATTATTTATAATCTTATAAAATGAATTATTTGAAAATAATTATAAATATAAAATAGAAATAAAATTTTTTATATTCTATTAATACTTACAAATATATTATAGTATTTCATAAATATTATAAAATAACTTTATATTTTTTATATAAAATCAATAAATATATATAAAAAAAAAATAATGTAAATAAATCAAATTACTTTTTTTTTTTATATATAATAATTTAAAAAATTCGTAATCAAAAAAATTTATAATAAAATAATTATATTTTTTTGTTTTATATTTTTATATAAAATAATAGATTTTATCTATTTATTATTATAAGTTAATTTATATTTTTACAAATTTCTAAAATAATTTATTAAATAATATATTTACTTTATAATAAAAAATCCTATATAACATATAATACTAGATATAATAATATGTCAAATATATTTCTATTATAAGTATCTAAACATAAAGATTAAATAATAAATATATATATATATAAAAGCTTTTTTAAATTTTAGTAAATATTGTAAAATTATAATTCTAATAATCTAATAAATAGATAATCATAAGTTTCAAATAATTAATTTTACATCATCTTCAATCATTATATCTAAATCTTATAGTTTAATTTAATTTAAAAATTGTTTAGTAATATAGTAAATTTATTTATATCTATAAATTTTAGTTTAAGCTTATTTAATCTTTTTATTTAATAATATAATGTAATGTTTAAATTATAGATGCCTGTTGAAACTTCCTCAAAATAATTTTGTCATACCTTTTTCTATATTTTTAATATAGTTATAACAGTTTCAGCTTTTATCATATCGAATGAGTTTCGTCATATCCCTTATTATGATTTTAATATAGTTTTATCCAAGTTTTAACTATTATTAAGAGTTTTCATCTCTCATCTATAGTTTAAATATACAATTTATAAAAACTTATGAATAAGATTTTATTAAAAAATCAAATTAATATTCAAAATATTTATTTATAGATGTAAATTTAATTAAAAAATATTTTTATAATAAAGAAAAATTATTAATATAATAAAATATTGTATCATAATCTTATAATACTAATATCTGATTTATCTATATTTAGCTATTTTATATTAAGAAAATATTATATCAATTTTTTATATAAATAAATAATTTGTAAATTCACTATTTAAAACAATCTTCTGATTTTATATTAAATTTAAATTAAACTAAATTTTTATATTTATTTTATTATGATCAGAATTTATCATAAAAAATACAATATTCATTTATCTTAAAAAATATAAATTATTAATTTGATTCTTTTTTTTAGAATTCATTTTATATAATACAAATTAAACTGATAAATAAATAAATAAATTATATAAAATTATAAATCATAAAATTTTAATAAATCTTATTTTATTGTAATTTAATTATCTTATTTTTAAAAATAAATTTATATTATATTATAATAATTTTTATTTATTTATTATATAATAAAAAAATCTAAAGTTATTTATAAGTTAAGAATTTTTAATTTTTAAAAAAAATTTTATATTAAAAAATTATCATTAACCTTTGATAGCTTATTAAATTTACCTTTAATAATATTAATCATAATAAAATATTATAAAATGTGTAAATTTAAATAAAATATTATTCTATAATACTTAAATCTAACCTTTAAGATACAATATACATAAATTTTATAAAAAAGGAAAACTTATCTCTCTAATTTAATTAGTGTTATAAAATGATGTGATTAACTTAATTAGTTAATATTAATAAAACTTTAAAATTTAAACATGTTTAGTATTTTAAAATTTACATATCATTATTTCATAATTCTATAAATTTTATTTGATAATAAATGTGATATTATATTTTTTCTGTAAATTTTTTAGATCTATTTGTAATACTATTTATATTTTCCTTTCTTCTTTTATTTATTACTTGCATTCTTATAAAAAGCAGTATTATATCTTATTCTATTATAAATATAACTTTTATAAGAATCTCTAATTTTATGTATTTCTCGAGAATTCTGTACTTTTTCAACATTACTTATATTTTTATTTAAGTGATCACTCTTTATTAATAACTTTATTCAGATTCTTTATATTTTAAAGTTTAATCTAATATTAGTATTATCTTCATTATTTGAATTTTTAAAAAATATTGATTATTTTACTAATATAAACAACATTGTTAATAATCAATCAATAGCAAATCTTTTATCAATCGGAAAAATAGAAAGACTTAAACTTTTTTAGTAATAATGAAATTAGTAGAACTATTACTAACTTTTCAATTAAATATTCATCTAATATAATCTTGAAGAAAACACTGGTCAAAATCATCCAAATCAGACATAAGTCAGATGTCTGATTTTTATCTGATTTAGGATTGATTTTTATCTTA